GTTAACATGGCCATCTGGCGTTAACATAGCCACCTGGCATTAACATAGCTACCTGGTGTTAGCATAGCTACCTGGCATTAACCTAGCTACCTGGTGTTAACATAGCCACCTGGCGTTAACATAGACACCTGGCATTAACATAGCCGCCTGGTGTTAACATAGCTACCTGGCGTTGACATAGCCACCTGGCATTAACATAGCCACCTGGCATTAACATAGGTACCTGGCATTAACATAGCCACTTGGCATTAACATAGCCACCTGTCGTTAACATAGCCACCTGGCGTTAACAAAGCTAACTGGCGTTAACATAGCTACCTGGTGTTAACATAGCTACTTGGTGTTAACATGGCCATCTGGCGTTAACATAGCCACCTGGCATTAACATAGCTACCTGGTGTTAGCATAGCTACCTGGCATTAACCTAGCTACCTGGTGTTAACATAGCCACCAGGCGTTAACATAGCCACCTGGCATTAACATATCCACCTGGCACTAACATAGCCACCTGGCGTTAACATAACCTCCTGGCATTAAATAGCCACCTGGCATTAATATAGCTACTTGGTGCTAACATCGCCTCCTAGCATTAACATAGATACCTGGCGTTAACATAGCCACCTGGCATTAACACAGCCACCTGGCATTAAATAGCTACCTGGTATTAACATAGCTACCTGTCATTAACATAACCACCTTGTGTTTACATAGCCACCTGGCGTTAACATAGCCACCTGGCATTAACATAGCCACCTGGCATTAACATAGCTACCTGGTGTTAACATAGCTACTTAGCATTAACATAGCCACCTGGAATTAACATAGCTACCTGGCGTTAACATAGCCACCTGGCATTAATAGCCACCTGGTGTTAACATGGCTACCTGGCGTTAACATAGCCACCTGGCATTAACATAGCTACCTGGTGTTAACATAGCTACTTAGCATTAACATATCCACCTGGCATTAACATAGCTACCTGGCATTAACATAGCTACCTGGCATTAACATAGCTACCTGGTGTTAACATAGCCACCTGGCATTAACATAGCCACCTGTCGTTAACATAGCCACCTGGCGTTAACAAAGCTAACTGGCGTTAACATAGCTACCTGGTGTTAACATAGCTACTTGGTGTTAACATAGCTACTTGGTGTTAACATAGCCACCTGGCGTTAACATAGCCACCTGGCATTAACATAGCTACCTGGTGTTAACATAGCTACCTGGCATTAACATAGCCACCTGGCATTAACATAGCCACCTGGCATTAACATAGCCACCTGTCGTTAACATAGCCACCTGGCGTTAACAAAGCTAACTGGCGTTAACATAGCTACCTGGTGTTAACATAGC